GGTGCCCCTTACCTGTTATGTACTGCATGTATGTAGAGAAGGTGCCCCTTACCTGTTATGTACTGCATGTATGTAGAGAAGGTGCCCCTTACCTGGTTTCTTTTGTCATTCTTCTAGTAACCATAGTCAACTGCTGTTTGAAAATATTAAATGGAAAATTCCAAAAACAAACAGTGCATAGGCTTTAAATTGCACCCTGTCTTGAGTAGTGGGATCAAATCTCATGGTGTTGCTCCATCTTGCCCAGGACAGTAATCATCCCTTTGCCCTTGGATCCACACCAAATATGCTACTCACCCATTACTCACTTGGCTAAGCGGATTAGCAGCTCCGGGATCAATGCTTGTGTTCAGGTAACCCCCGTTTTACTTAATGGCAGCCCCAGAACCCAGAGTAGTGATACAGGGAGTTCAGATATGCAGCAAAAGGCTGTAAAGCTCTTCATTTAAGAAAAAAAAAAAAGGTGAACATTCTCAATTGAAAGAAAGGAGGAACTGTCTGCTGTGGTTTGCCAAGATCTACAGAAGATCTACAGAGCTTCCATCTGCAGAGCTGTGGAAAAGGAAAGAGAAATTGGTGCGAGTTTCCTGTCGCACTTCAAACTGCATAAGTTACAGCCGTGGTGTGTGACAAGAATTTGGTTGTGAAAAAAGGCATTATGTTATATGATTCGATACTAGCTGCAATTACAGGCATCCATTTGGGATCTTGGAATCTGTTAAGAAATCACACACACACACACACACACACACACACACACACACCCTCTCCCTAGTCTGTCTTGCTTGGTGCTTCTCCCATCAGCGTACCATTGACTGTCTGGATCAGCTCATTGTGTGGAGTCTCAGTTGGCTCTCAGGATTGACCTTAACTGTCCTCCCTTCCCTCTCTTGTTTCAATGGATGATGACAGAATTGCAGAGTCCCTTCTTCGCCTTTTCTTTCCCTGTCGTTGTGCCCAGGACAGATCTCCTAACAGGCTGACAGGCAGCGTAGCTGGTCAGATCTGCATTTCAGCAGGCTCCTTGGGTGGTTGGATCCCTAAGTCCTGGAGCACAAGGGTCGCTGGCCAAGCTAGCATGGAGACCCACACTCATGGTGCCCCACCAGTTGGTGCCTCCTCACCCCTTCCTGGACACCGCCCTGGCCGTACACAGCCCCTCTTCTCGTTCCCCTCTTAGCACTCAGGAGGTTGCTGCAGAACCAGGTACACCTCTGACTCCTGTCCTGCCCCTTGCCTTGCCAGGATGCTGGTGGAGAAGTTCTCCGTATCTCTCCAGATCATTTCGCCAGTGCATCCAGGTGAAACTGTATTCTTGCCTAGACGTCACCCTTTGCCCTGCATCCTGGACTCCTCCAGTCTAAAGCCACACAGTCAGCTGGAAGAGCTGTTCCTCAGGTAAGCATGCTGTGCTGGCTGTTTTTATGTCAACTTGACACAAGGTAGAATCATTTTGGAACTTGAGTTGAGAAAATACTCCCACCAGAGCGGCCCATGGGCAAGTCTGTGATGCATTTTCTTGACTGATGATTGATGTGGGAGGACCTAGCCCACTGTGAGTGGTGCCAGCCCTGGGCAGGTGATCCTCGGGGCTAAACAGAAGCAGGCTGAGCAAGCCATGAGAGCAAGCCAGTAAGCAGCACCCCTCCATGGCCTCTGCATCAGCTCCTGCCTCCAGGTTCCTGCCCTGTGTGAGCTCCTGCTCTGACTTCCCTCCGTGGTGGACTGTTACCTGGAAGTATAAGATGGAATAAACCCTTTCCTTCCCAAGTTGTTTATGGTCGTGGTGTTTTAATCACAGCAAGAGACACCCAGAGACACATAGTAAGGGAAGTATAGGGAGCAGTGTCGTCTGTTTCAGGGACAAGGGCCACCTCAAATAAGGAAATCCAAAGCAATGTTTTGAACAACGTGAATATGTGGCCTTTTATGAATAGAGGTAATTGTGTTCATTTTCTGTTTTCTGTAACTGTAATTAGATTGGCCGTCATGAAGGGAAGTCAGGGCAGAATCTCAAGCAGAACTAAAGCAAGGCCATGGAGGAAGGCTGCTTACTTGGCTTGCTCATTCATGTTCAGCTACCTTTCTTTTTTTTAAACTTTGTTTTGGGTGCCTTGGTGTAAAGGTATCAGATCCCCTGGAACTGGAGTTACAGACAATTGTGAGCTGCCCTGTGGGTGCTAGGAATTGAACCTGGGTCCTCTGGAAGAACAGCCAGTGCTCTTAACCACTGAGCCATCTCTCTAGCCCCAGCTACCTTTCTTATACAGACCAGGCTTACCTGCCTAGGAGTGATACTGCCCACAGTGGCCTGGGCCCTCTTTCATCCATTAGCCCCACAGACATGCCCACAGCCAATCTGAGGGAGGCAGTTCTTCAGTTGACTGTCCCTCCTCACGGGTTTGTCAAGTTGACAACTGAGATGATCTGCCACAATAATGCATGTCTGCTTAGAAAATTTGCTAATTTAGATATATATACAGGGTTTCTCTGTTTAGCTTTGGTTGTCCTGGAACTCCCTCTGTAGACAGGCTGGCCTGGAACTCACAGAGATCTGCTTGTTTCTGCCTCCCAAGTACTGTAACTCCTACTGCCCAGCTATAAACTCTTATTTTAACTTTAAAAAATATTTTTTATTTTATTTTGTGTTTGTGTGTGTGTATGTGTGTGAATGTATGTTATGTATGTGTGGTGCCTGAGGAAGCCGGAAGAGGGTATTAGATTCCCTGAGGCCGGCAGTTGTAGGTGCTTGGAACCAACCTTGGGTCCTCTGGAAGAGCAAAATACACTCTTAACCACTGAGACCACTCTCTAGTCCCTGGATGAATAAACTTCCTAAAGGTCTACATTATAGTAAACACCAGGCCATGCATTTACATGTTCATACTGCCTATTCCTCCCCAGTACCCCAGTTTTATAGACTAACCTGAGCCAGACTCAACATTCATGACCTGGGGATCTTGTCTCAAGTAGCACAGGGCCAAGGTCTGGGCTGTCAGAGCTTATGGCAGTCCCTCTCACCTACAGCAGGGCCGGCCCCTTTTCCATGGCTCTGTCATGCAATTTCAATTATCTGTGGCCAGCAGTGGTCTGGACATATTAAATGGGAAAATCCAGAAATAATTTATAGGTTTTTACATTGTGTACCATTCTGAGTAGAATATTGAAATTTTGTGCCATCCCACTCTATCAGTCTGAAATATGAACCCTGTCTTTGTCTGGTGATCCTCACTGGGCATGCTCTCCGCTCACTAATCACCTAGTAGCCAGCTCCAGTATCAGATTGACCCTCAAAGTGTGGGAGGCTTTTATTGAAGGAACCTCTGCTCTCCTCGGTGACTGCAGAGCTCAGGCGCAGTACCAGGCGGGACTCATTCAGACAGCAAAGAGAAGCCGTGATACTTCCTCTCCAGGAAAAGGGGCATGCTCTTGGCTTCAGGAGAGAAAAATATCTACACTGCGGCTGCTAAGATTGAAGGGCTGGTGATGCTCAGTGGTGAAGTGTTGCTCGAATTTTAAAAGGTCATATAATAAAAAATCCAGGCCAGATGTTGGGGTAAATGCTGAAAGATCAGAGAGACAAAGGAACAAGGCACAGCCACCACCTCTTAGCTCACCAACTCCTCAGCCTGAAAAGGCTTTCTAGCCAAAAGGCCTCTAGCTGAATGAGCTACCTCAGCCGAAAAGGCTTCTAGTTCCTGTCTCCTCACGCCTTATATACCTTTCTCCACCCAGCCATTAAAGGCGTGTGTGCTTCCCAGTACTGGGATTAAAGGTGTGTGCCATTACTGCCTGGCTCTGTTTTCTCTCCTAGATGGAGTCAATCTCATGTAGTCCAGGGTGGCTTTGAACTCACAGAGATTCAAACAGATCTCTGCCTCCCAAGTGCTAGGATTAAAGGTGTGTGCCACCACTGCTTGTGACTTTGTTCTGTTCTCTGATCTTCAGGCAAATTTTATTAGGGTACACAATATATCTCCACAGTTAAGAGTGTGTACACTGCACCCATGTAGGGCAGCTCACAACCAGTTGTAACTCCATTCTCAGGGGATATGACACCCTATCCTGGACTCCACAGGCATCTGCACTTAGGGGTACACATACCCACACATAGACACACATTGTGTAGTGGTTAGTACCAGACACCGTTTTGGTCATCCACGGAAATCAATGAATCAGATCCCCACAGACAGCGAGGGACGAGTATGTTTGCTGGAGTGCTGTCTTCAGTCTGTGTGCCATCAGTACTGGAAAGTCCGTCCCCAGCCAGAAGCAAGCTTAGTAACAATAGGGACAGCTGCCTTGTTCCTCCTCTTCTGGGGAGTAAATTCATGCTCATTATCACATAATCACTGAGGAATTGTTCTGTAAGGGGATTTTTAAACGGTTTACCACAATCATGCCCAACACTTGGCAGTTGTGAGCTCATGTCCAAGAATATAAGAGAAAGATAAAGAGAATTCAGAGCAGTTGCCGTCTGCCTGATCACTCCTACAGGCTGGTGACTGCGGTGGAGGCCAAACGGATAGAGACAGGGCCACCGTGACCCACCCACTTCAACCACAGCATGAGCTGAGCTCAGAGTTCTCAGCTCATCTCAGCTTTAAAGATCACAGGAACACTTGAATGTTTCTTTTAAAGTTTTTTTAAATTTAGATTTATACACACACACACACATAAACGCGTGTGAGCGTGGCCTACATACTGCAGACAAAACATTCAGATATATGAAGATATATATGAGTGACTGGTTTGTTTTTGTTGTTTTTTGTTTGTTTGGTTGGTTGGTTTTGGGGGTTTTTTTGTTTGTTTGTTTGTTTGTTTTTTGGTTTTTTGAGACAGGGTTTCCCTGTGTAGTTTTGATGCCTGTCCTGGATCTTGCTCTGTAGCCCAGGCTGGCCTCGAACTCACAGAGATATCCACCTGGCTCTGCCTCCCGAGTGCTGGGATTAAAGGCGTGCGTGACTGTTTTGCCTGCAGTATGTATGTACGTGCTTGGTGCCTTGGGAAGTCAGAAGAGAACACTGGATCCCCTAGAACTCGAGTTATGGATGGTGGTGAGCCACCATGTGGGTGCTGGGAGTCAAACCCAGGTCCTCTGCAAGAGCAACAAGTGCTCTTAACCACTGAACCATCTCTCCAGCCCCCTCTAAAGGTTTCTATCCTGGAAGCTTGCAGGCTAATCTGAAGGCTGAATGAGCAGTGTAACCTGCCTCCACATACCCATTGCTCAACTTCAACAGTCAGCCAGTCTTTTCTCTCTCTTCCTGCCTGTCAACATAGCACTCTATTTTTAGATGCTATTGCCCCTAAAAATAGTAACTTCTTATCCATATCAATCAGTGTTGAGAGTTTGATTATCTTATATGTGTGTGTGGAGGTCAGAGGACAACTTTTAGGAGTCAGTTCTTGCTTTTCATGCAGGTCCTAGGAATTGAACTCAGGTCAGCAGCCATGACAGCAAGTACCTTTTCCATCTCATGCATCGTGCCAGCCTATAAATGTTTAATAGATTATTATGATTGGTATCAGAACAAAGTCCAAGAATTGCAATTTTACTGTGTGATGCTGTCCTAAGTAATTATATGTTGCTTCGACGCCCTAACATACCCATTTTCCTAGTTTTTTTTTTTTTTTTTTGAAATACACATTCTTTTCAGCTTTTCTCTGTTATAAATAGTGCATCAATGTCTAGACGCCTGGGTGTCATGAAATTATGAGGTGTGCGTGTGACCCCTGATAAAGGTTCACCTGGCCATAGTGAGAAGAGGCCAAATAAGGAAGTGATGAAAGGGGGAAGGAAGGGAGGGAGGGAGGGAGG